CTCTGTTCCTTGTTAGCTGTGTGGCCTTACAGCCTCAAGCCCCATTCTCCTTATATACTAAATGAGGATGATGATACCTACATAGGGTCATTGTGGGTGGTTTGAGATAATGTATATGAAGTGCCTTGTAAAGTATATGATGTACTGTGGGAATTCAATAAATTCCACTTACCCCTAACTCATTTTTCTGCTTGCTAACCGCCTCTCCCCACAATAAGCATGGTTTTCCAAATCAAATAGATTTTCTTGAAAAATAAGTTTATAAAAATTATCTTCTCACAAGTTTGAGTGGAATTTAATCCCTAGGTAAGTTAGTGCTGACATCCAGCCGGCCCATTTCCTAAGGACCTTCATTATCTTTTTGGGGTCCCCCAAGTCTTCTTTGTTGCCACATCTCTCAGATTCTTTTCAACTTTAAATGCCAAGATTCCAGTATCTGATCATCTTATTACTGTCTAAGCTTATGTTTGCCCACGGTAGATAAATGTATAAAATTAATTTATAATATATGACTAGCATGGTAGATAAGGGTTTTGTGCAGTTTTTACAGTGAGCTGGTTGGTTTTCAAGAGCTTTTGTTTTATAGACAGTGTTAAACATCCCTTCCTCTGTAACATCACCCCTGGGCAGGGTTTGCGTGGGTAACAAATGACAACAGGGACTTGTAAGGAACAGAAGGTCTTGAGAAAATTTACCTCAAGCTAGAAGAAGACTAAGTCCCCTCCAGCCCTTCTGCATCCGTCCACCAACAATTCCTTTCTACCCTGTCAGCCACAAACCCGCCAGGCCTGTAAGGCTGCACAATTTCAGGTAGTATGGCGTGACTGTAGAAGGCGGGGAAACACCAGACCGTGACTTGGTAATAACGAGAGGTAGGGCGGTTCTTTCTGAGAGAGATCTTGGGACATCTTTTCCCTGAACAGGTAGTCACAGCAATAGATTCTGTCCATCAGCCATAATGAAAGGACATTAAAGTGTGTTCTATACACTAATTACCCTTTAAAAAGATACCGCCTAATCACTTTCAAGTGTGAAGAAGAATACTAGAGTTGATTTTGAAGTTGGCATTTTGAATGTGGCATTTTGTCACATAGAATTATTGTGTTAGCTTTTTATTACGGGTTTTTCCTAGGGAAGCAGTTTAGTATTTCGAAGAGTGTGGTTCCATCTGCAAAATGATTGTGCTTATGGAGACATTTATCCAGTGGTTCTAGTCTATTAGGTTTGCATCTGTGAGTCTGATTTAGTTGATTTCTGCACAGAGACAGATTTAATACACTTCTCGTAACATTCCATATATTTATTTATTATGTGCTGCTTTCTTTTATTTTTGTTCTGCCCTCATAACTCACCTCCTGTAGAGAAGATGATAAAATAGCAATTTTACCCCTTGGAAATATTGTTAAGACTTTGAGTCTGGTGTTATTTGTTGAATGTTTTAGTTTCAGGGTTCGTTATGCTAAATTTTGTAAAAGCGTTTGCTAAACTGAGTAAGTTTTAAAATATGGTAAAATCTGAAAGAAGGCATTTCAATTCTTTCTACTGATTTAATCTTCTGAAAATACTATTAAACTATGAAAAATAAGCAACTCAGATATTTGAAAGTGTAAGCAACTAGAGCAAATTGTTATCAAATGAGATCATGTGTGACCAAACTTTGTAAGGTATAAAATATAATTACAGCAAGGACTTCTTTGAGGAAGCAGATTCTCTTAGTCACTCTGCAGCCACAGTCCTTGATAATTAGGGTGTGTCGAGTGTCTGTTGGGTCTGCTCTGCACGTACATGGCTTGGGGAAGGATGAGACACGGCTTGTGCCCTTCAGGAGCTCTACCTTCACGTTCTAGAGATGATATGCGCACAGAGAACCACATGAGGTGTTATCACACTGACAGAGGAAGTGCTGTAGGAGTGTAAATCAGGAAGAAATCTCCCGTTGGTGTCAAGGAAATCTTTGTGGAGAAGGTGAACTTGAAGTCCGTGTTACACTGGTTATTATCATATCTAAGAGAGTTTGAAGGAGAAGGACCAGAATTCACAACAGCTGCTTACCTGTGCGTTTTCGTGTGGTTAACTGAGAGCTGGTATGATACTCTGGTGAAGAGAGTGAGCTCTGGGACCAGCTCTGTTAACCTCTGTTTCATTCCCTCTTCTACAAAATGAGTATAAGTAATACTGCCTACCTCGTAGGGTTATTTTGAAGATTAAATAATTTAATAGATAGAAAACACCTCGGAAAATATCTGCCGTGTTACCGATAGATGTTACCTGTCATCATCATCAGTTATACCGGCCCTTCAAAGTTCAGTCCTTCTCCAGGAAGCCTTTCCTACCAAACCAGTGTATGGGTTGCCCCCGCCCCCCTCTGTTCCCAGAGTGTCCTCAGCATGTCATTGCTGTTGTTAGATGTGACCCCGTGTGACAGAATAGACTGCCTCATAGGGTTTTCTTGGCGATAATCTCTATGGAAGCAAATCGCCAAGTCCTTCTCCCACTGAGCTGCTGGGTGTGTTTGAACTGCCAGCCTTTCGATTAGTAGCTGAGCGCTTAACCGTTGCACCACCGGGGCTCGTTCAGCGTGTCATTACCAGAGCACTAATCAATGGCATTGATTTTCAATTGTTGCTTTACTTCCTTGAGGTTGTAAGGTGTGTATATGCCAAACCTTAGCATTACTCCTAACGATATTCCTAGTGTTTAATGAATTTTCGTTGAATGGATGATTTAATTCAATAAAGATTAAATATATTCAGTGTAAGAAGATGGATATTTTCACAAGGTTGATGGCAGTGATGATGGAGAGAAATGGATGAATTCAGGATATGTTTTGAGATATAATCGATAACATTTATTGATGGATTGGATGTGGAGAATGATGGCAGTGGAGAAATCAAAGCTCGGGCAGCTGAGTAATGACGTTAGTTGAGTGAGGCAGACCGGGAGAAGAGTAGGTTCTGTGTTGCAAATGTTGTTTGAGGAGCCTACTCTGCTTTTGAGTAGAGCTATCAAATGGGGAGTTGGATATGAGTCTGGAGCTCAAAGAAGAGATTAAGATGGGAAATATAAATCAGGAAGTCAGTAACACGTAGATGATATTTAAGGCTGCTTAGCTGGATCAGCTCACCTTGTGAGGGCATGTAAGTTCAGAAGAGAAGGCCCAGGACCACACCTGCAGCGCTCTAGCATTCAGTGGTCTGGAAGAGGGGTGGAGAAGCCAGCAAAAGAAACTGAGGCAGGAGAAAAACTAGAACAAAGTATCTCTAGGAATCGCCAGTTGGGTCAAATGCTGCTGAGAGATTAGGATGAAAAGTGAGAAGTAATCACTGGATTTGGCTGACCTTGACTCTGCAGTGGTGGGATCCAGAAGCCAAATTAGGATAGGTTCAAGCGTGAATGGGAAATGAGGGAGTAGAAATCATGGGAGCTAAATCCTCGAGTAGGCTAAAGGGGATGGGGATCCGGTCTTCAGCATCACCAGCTTTAGGTTTCCAGCCTTCCAGATTATTTCATGAAGTCCCAAACTGAACTCCCCCACTGCCCTCCAAAATCTGTTCCTCTTGCTAAGTTACCTGTCTCCAGTATTAATGAATTTTCCTTCCTTCCAGTGATCCAAGCTAGATAGACCCCAGGGTTTTTGTGTTCTTTTCCTTCCTCCATTTATCCCACGTAACCAGTTGCCATGGGCTGTTGAGTCTTCTCCAGGCATTGTTCACGTTGGACTCCTCCTCTTCATTGCTGTTGCCACTTATGCTGCTCTTGCCAGGCCTAATGAGCTGTTCTCCAGACTCCTCAGTGGTTACCTAAATACTGCCTACTTTTATCCTCTCTCTTGACAGTGCATCTGCCCATCACAGTGAGAAGGTTCTTCCCCAAGCACAGCTTTGCTCATGTTATTCTCCTGCTAATTAGCCTGGCCCTTAGAACCTTCCTCCTTACCTCCCACTACCTTCTCTGCATTCAGCCTGCTGCTGGGAAGTATTTACTGTTTCCTAAAGATAACCCGGCCTTTGGGCCTTCACTTTTCACCGTTACCCTGCTTGACCTGCTGTCCTCTCTCAAATCTTACACATCTTCCATATTTCCAAATGCTTAGTACCTCTAAGAAATGAGGGTGCACACCCTAAAAATGAGGAAGTTTTGGAACATAAGGGATATTGTGATGAACGGCGTTTAACACTGGTTTGAGAATTCAAAACATCTCTAGATTTTTAGTAAAATCAAGAGTACAAATAAAAAATAAACGTCTTATATTTTGATTGGGGAAGCAAAGTTCTACTAAATGAATTTAACCCCTTCAAAATTACTTTTTATTAGCACTGATAATGAGAAAGAAAAACTGTAAAATTAGAAGGGAAAACCTAAGCACAACTTGCTTTGACTTTTTTGTCAAAAAAATGCTTTGTTTTGTGTTTGTTCGTCTCTTTTCTCCTGCTGTACATTTTCCCCAGGAAACTTTGTATTTCAGCAGCATCTTAATTGGCATTGACAAAGTGAACAAACCAGAGGACTTCCCCAAGGCCTGACCCTTCACGGCGGGATGAACTGTGGACCGCACTCCTTTGATATGTGCCTTCCCCTTTTATTTCAAAGAGGAAATAACTGCTCCTGTTCTTGATAACTTCTACTTTAAAAAATCTTTAAAGTCTATTATTTAATATTTATCAATGGAGGGAATATTGTCTTAAATGCTTTTATAAACTGATTCTTATATATATGAGATGGCTCGTAGCTAGTGTTAAAATGCTGTGTTTTCTTGTTAGAGTTCTAATAGTTTAAATTTTGGTAGAATTTTTTTGAGCCATTAGTAGGGCAATAGCAGAAATAACTGAAAATAGTTGCTTTAGGTTAATTGTATTGATAATTTCAGTAAAGCATAATTGATATGTGAGCATTCAGAAATAACACTCGGCGTTTAAAGTACATAAATGTTTATTATAATGTAAGAGCAGTTTCCATTGAGAATGGATTGTTTTAAATTTGCGTTTTCTTTTTTCCTACAGGAAGGAACTTGAAACCTTCAAAGGTAATGTGTTTAATTCTTTCTGAAAAGTAGTTGAGAGCTAATTGGTGTCAGATGTTCTCACTTGATGATGGAAGAACTCATTCCTTTTTTAAAAAAATCTGTTCATATCGAAAAGTAAAAGTTTCCGTAATACTGTTTTTCAGGTTTTATTTCATCACGAGTGGTTTCGATCTTCTCCTTTAGCCATAAGCCATGCCTCAAGTGAGGGTCTCTGTTCATGGCCGTTATGGGTAGTATGTCAGGAAGGGGTCCTGCCAGCCTGGGGGTTGTTGAGAATCATTGTCCAAGAAGATTCCAGTCTCTGTTGTGGGAAAGATGGGCCCCATGGAGAGGAGATGGTGATAAAGATGAAGGTGTGTCCCTGCAACGGACCTGGCAGGTCACTTGGACCCTCCTAGATGTTTTCCATACTGGGACTCACACTGCCACTACCTTGTAACTTTGATTAAGTCTCATACCTTTTTCAGGCTCAGTTTTTCCATCTGTAAAATTAGAGGTGCTAACAAAATATATTCTGCGATTCTGAAATCACCCAGTACTTAGGGAACTTCTGAAGGAGGAGCGTGGAAGAATAATTCTTGGTCATGTTGTGCCTGACTGGTCATGGAGAAGCACTAGTGGAGAATAGGGAAAACCACAGGCTTTCCAGAAGCTCAAGGCCTTCCCAATTTGCCATTTTTCAGTTGTTTCTAGTTGCCACAAAGTTGGCTCTGACTCCTGGTGACCTTACATAGAACGGAATGTTGCCTGGTCCTAGACCATCTTCACGGTCATGGGTATGTTTGAGTCTGTCGTGCCAGTCCGTCTCATTGGGGGTCTGTCTCATTTTTGCCGACCCTCTTCTTTACCAGACATCTTGTCCTTTTCTAGGGATTGGTCTTTCCTGCTGGCATGTCCAGTGTAAGCAAGACGCAGTCTTTCCATCCTTATTTCTAAGGAGCATTCTCCTTACATTCTCTCTCTTTACATTCCTAGTTACTCATTTGCAGTGAAATAATAAGAATCACCATTCTGAGGGAGACTTATTTCAGTGAGCAGGAAGACTTCAATTCAGGGCTGTGAACAGGTTCCTTCCTGTTTGAACCCCTGCTGCGAATTTGCATTTCCACCCCAGATGTACTAAACCAAAATCTACGTTTTAACAAGATCTCGAGGTGAACACGTAAACTTTGAGAACCCCTGCTCTACTAGTGGTTCTCAGAGCTGGTCCCTAACCAGCAGGATTAGCATCACCTAGTTAGGAATGCAAATTCTTAGCAGGGCTTGGAACCCGAACAAACTGGTTTGAAGTCCTGCTTGAATTACTTATTAAATCCCTTCTGATTTAATTGTTTCAAGCTTATTATATTTCATGTGTAAACTAGCATTGACTTTTAGATTTACTAAAAATAATTAAATACATTCTGGTGCATCATTCTTAGTTGAATTGTTTATGTGTTTGATTTGTTTGATTGTTTTAGAAAAAATGACTGACCTTCAGGGAAAAAGGTGTAAGGGCTTATTCCTAGTATGGGTACAAGTGAACAGACTTGTTTTGGCTCCATTTGTGTTTGACTGACTGCAGTTGTGGTTACTGATTAAGTTCACGGTCAGCTTGTTGAGGGTAAATGATCACGTGATACAGTATGTTCTCATGGCTATCATTGTTCTTATTCAGTTTGTGAATCACTGCCCATGGACATTATTTTTCAATAGCAGTTTGAAATCCTGACAAAATGATTTTTTCTCTCTCTTTCTCTCTTTTGGTTGTGTAGTTTAGCATCTTGTGTAACAGTAAGAGATGGGGGAACCAATCAAGTTAATACAGAAAGACAGGCAGGGACACAGATTGTGTAAAATGTCAGTTTTATTTCCCTCTCAGTACTGAGATGTTCTTTCTTATAGTATGACAGTATTCACAGAATAAGAAGAAAAAACCAGCAGTATGCAAAAGATTGGGTAGAGTTGCACACTACTTGATAGAATAATTCGATTTCCGCTACAATATCTTGTTTATACACACATCCCTAATTAGATGCCCCATTTAATAGCTGTCAGATCCACCCACAGGCCAATTAAAGCTCTCAACTTTGAATAAACCCTAAATTGATTATTGTATCTTATCTATTTTTTAAAATATCAATATTCATTAACAGTTGTTTCCTCTTGAGTATTCTGCTAATATTTCAAAAGCATGAATTATATGTAATGAGAAAAAAAGAAATATGACTACTCTTCTAAGGTATTCTTGGAGAAAAAAAAATTATTCAAACATACTGTAACAATATTATTATTTTTCGAACATTGCCTTTGTTTTCCTTTTTCAAAGTTCAGGAAAACAAAAAGTGTTACTTCCTCTGATTGTGTGTGCGTGTGTGTGTGTTTTGCCCCAACTTTGGTTGTATTTAGCAGCTCTTTTCTAAGTTGGGGAAAAACTAGATTTGATTCTGACCCATAGCAAGCCCTGTAGGACAGAGTAGAACTGCCCCATAGAGTTTCCAAGGAGCATCTGGTGGATTCGAGCTGCCAACCTTTGGTTAGTAGCCGTGGCTCTTAACCACTACGCCACCAGGGTTTGGGGTTACTAACTTTGGGTTTGGAAAGCCTGGTGGCATAGTGGTAAAGAGCTATGGCTGCTAACCAAAACGTCGGCAGTTCAAATCCACCAGGTGCTCCTTGGAAACTCTATGGGGCAGTTCTACTCTGTCCTTTAGGGTCACTGTGAGTCTGAATCGACTCGATAGCAACGGGTTTTAAAGTTAATACAGGTCGGTATCCCTCACTGAGTTCTGGGTTCTCCCATCTGTATTCCTTTGAGGTTAATGAGTTAGGTCCACCCTTCACTTACGCCGCGTATGGCGGATCTCTACAATATTATTAAAACCGGTGGTTTATATTTTACTATTAGCCGTGGGAAGGTTTTCTATCTTCCCCAAATACCACATTCCTTTAAACTTTCCACTGACAGTCACTCGAATATTAGGCTGTAAAGAGAGGAAAATAGGATCTTAAAAGTCCTAATTTTATCTTTTTCCATGGGGAAGGAATTTCATTATTGTAAGCACATGTAAAGTAACTAAACGTTTCACAGTCCTTAAAGACGTAGGAAATTGGCCGTGAATAGACATTCGTATTGTTCAGGAATTACTGTTTTTCCAGTTTAATTTTTAAAATAGATTATCATCCCATGAATAACTCTTAAAATTACTTTTAAGGTTTTTTGTTTCAAGTGTAAGTCTAGAAATATTGTACCACTGAAAAGAGTAGAGGTAAAAATATCCAGGATCGGTATCGTTCTTACTGCCCTGGGGTTCCTGATGTTACGTGTCTTTAATGTGCAGACTTGGTCTTTGACCCTCACTGAAGTGCCTCTTCGCATTAGCCATCATTCTCCTTTTTCTCGGTAAAACAACACAGACTGATACCCGTAGAGTGCTGCGTGCTCATGACGGACAGACTGCTCTCCGATGTATCCAGATACTTCTGCTTCCACCAGTTCAGAGTGAGCTGTGTTTGCTCCTGAACTCATTTATGCTAGAGTTACATGCAATTTAATATGAGATAAAATGATGAAACCTCAGTGTTAAGGAGAATTGTTTGTGAGAAAACTAAATTGACTGCTTTGGAAAGACAGTCTAGGTAAGTAGCTTTTTAAAAAATTGCTGGAAAAGGCATACTTAAGAATTAGAAAAGATTTGGGGAAAAAATCATAAAAATCCTGCAGGATTCTGTACACAGATTGTACAACATGTCTTAAATTTCTGCTCTACTTTAAAGAAGTAGACTGAAAATTTTACCAGGGCACTGTGGACGGTGGTTTATGGAAGAATCGTCAGTGGGACCTATGCTGAAAGAATTTATGAATTTTTTTTAAAAAGTTTGGTTATATTTTAAACTAAAATGTTTGTTATGTATATTTTAATGGGTTCCTATGTTAACTGCTTTTTAAAAAATTAAATGACCAATATAGGTCCCAAATGTATTATAATAAGAGGTGTAGTCCCCTACTTAATATCAAATTACCTGATCATGTCAGAAATGGGACTGGCCCGTGGAAAAGGCAGCTGAAGCCTGCATGAGTATGACGTGATCACATTTAAGATTTAGCTCTCAGAAACAGAGCCAGTGACAGAGACCAGGCTAGAGTGCAGAGAAATAGGAAATCCAAGACAACTCAGTGACTAGAAATCTCAGAAAGGAGAAGATTTGAAGGAGAAATGGGTATCAGCGATAGAAGTGATAGAGAAGTTGAGCAGAATGGGAGATGATGAACAGGTAGTCCGTGATCTGAGAGAGCTGTTGGTAGAGGGAGAATCCAGATTGCATATCAGAAGTGTGCGTATGAGAAGTTAGGAAATAAAAGCTGCGTGAACTGTTCTTTTATGGACTGAAGGAAAGAAATGAAAAGATAACCTCAGATAGAATCAGGGTCACGGTCAGGGAAAAAGGTGAAATTGAAGATGTTAAAGGAGGTGACTGCAATCCCAGAGAAGACAGAAAGACGTGATATCCTGGTAGGTCATCCTTCTCTTTCTCTGAAACCCTAGAGAAGGAGGATGGCTGATAATACAGCGGAAAATTGACGTGGAGGGGGTGAATCATTTTTGAGAATCCACATGAGAAAGGATAGTGAATTCTGAGCTAGGCTCAGAAGCCAAAGTAAAAGCCAAAACCAATATACTTTGGTTAATACATGGTTGGGAATTGGAAGAACATATATGATGGTCCAGCAGGGATGTTCATCTTGGATGCTAATGGAAGCGTGATGAAAGTGCTGGGCTGTGGAGTTTAGGCTGGAGAGGAGAGGCTTGACCAGACCAGCAGAAGAAGCAGGATTTGGGGTACTAGAGATGGTGTGTATCATAAAGACCAAGAACATTTTCAGTACTTGAGGTGGGTCTTGGGGTCAAAAAAGGGAATTTCAGTTTGAAATTTTGAAGGTAGAGCAATTCTCAATGACTAAGATGGTTACATTTCAAGTAAAAATAGAAGTCATCGAATTGAAGAAGTGATCTTAAACC